ATTGCACTGTGTGTATGTAATACACATACCATAAAATCACCCTTTTGAGTGTGTAATTCAGTGGTTTTTAGTATATTAAGAAGTTTGGCAACCATCACTATTATTTAATTTCAGAACTGTTTCACTCCTCTAAAAAGAAAACCACTAGCCGAGGCCGGTTTAGCTCAATGGATAGAGCATCAGCCTGTGGACTGAAGGGTCCCGGGTTCGATTCCGGTCAAGGGCATGTACCTTGGTTGTGGGCACATCCCCAGTAGGGGGTGTGTAAGAGGCAGCTGATCGATGATTCTCTTTCATCATCGATGTTTCTAACTCTCCATCCCTCTCTCTTCCTCTCTGTAAAAAATCAATAAAATATATTCTTTTTTAAAAAGAAAAAGAAAAAGAAAACCACCAGCAGTCATTCTCCATTTTCCCCTTCCCCCAGACCCTAGCAACCATTAATCTTTCTATCTCAATAGATTTTTTTTTTAAAGATTTAACTTGTGTAGCCAGCTGGGAACACTTTTTTTTTATTTTTATATTTTATTGATTTTTTACAGAGAGGAAGAGAGAAGGATAGAGAGTTAGAAACATCGATGAGAGAGAATTATCGATCAGCTGCCTCTTGCACACCCCCCACTGGGGATGTTCCCACAACCAAGGTACATGCCCTTGACAAGAACTGAACCCAGGACCTTTCAGTCTGCAGGCCAACGCTCTATCCACTGAGCCAAACTGGTTTCGGCTCAATAGATTTTCTTATTCTGAGGTATAACCACCCTGAAACCATACAATATAAGGTCTTTGTATTTCATACAATATGAAATCATACAATATGAGGTCTTGTTGTGATTGGCTACTTTTACTTAGTAAAATGTTTTCAAGGTTCATCCATGTTGTAGCTTGGATCAGCATTTAATTTCTTTTTATGTCTTTTTTTTTTTCTTTTTATAGTATCTATATCATTCTCTAGATATACCAAATCTATTTATTCATCAGCTGATGATCATTTGGGTTAGTTTTCACTTTTTTAGTTATTTTGAATAATGCTTCAATGAACACTCATGTACCAGTTTTTCTGTGGACATGTGTTTTCATTTCTTCTGGAATATACCTAGGAATGGTATTGCTGGGTCACACGATTACTTTATGTTTAATCTTTTTTGCTAAATTGCCAGACTGTTTTCCACAGCAGGCATACCATTTGCATTTCCAACAGCAATGTCTGAGGATTCTGATTTCTGTTCATCTCACCAACACTTGTTATTGTTCTTTTTTTTTAAAAAAAAAAAAAATATATATTTTATTGATTTTTAACAGAGAGGAAGGGGAGGGATAGAGAATTAGAAACATCAATGAAAGAGAAACATCGATCAGTTGTCTCTTGCACACTCCCTACTAGAGATGTGCCTGCAACCAAGGTACATGCCATTGACTGGAATCAAACCTGGGACCCTTGAGTCCACAGGCCGACGCTCTATCCACTGAGCCAAACAGGTTAGGGCATGCTACTGTTCTCTTTTTTTCCCTTTATTTTGATTGTCTTCTTTGATTTAACCATCCTAGTGGGTGTGAAGAGGTTCTTCTGAACCTCTATGAGAACAAGGACTCCTCCATCTGTCTGGATCACCACTGTATCCCAGAACTTAGGGCAGTGCCTAGCACTTATTACATATTCACATTTTGTTCAATACACTAAAAAGAGTTGAATGAAAAGGTAAATCAGAAGCTAGTTAGATGGTTACAGTACCTGAGAGAGAGAGAGAGAGAGAGAGAGAGAGAGAGAGAGAGAGAGAGAGAGGAAGAGAGAGAGAGATGGATTTGTGAGACACACATTGATTGGTTGGCTCCCACAAGCACCCCCAACGGAGGCCAGGATTAAACCTGCAAACCGGGTAAGTGCCCTTGGCCCAGAATTGAACCTGTAACCCTTATTGATTGTAGGAATGTCGGAAAAACAACATGTTTCAATACCCAATAAATTATCTTTAAGTGTTTAAATAAGAAATTTGTGCACACCTAAAATCCTAATGGATGATTTAAAGAAAAACAAGGAAACTTTTAACTACCCAATAGAGAGCTGTCAGGGGATCTGGTATTCTTTTTTCTGCAGAGTACTGAACCACCCATTTTCTGATACCATAATCTTTCTTCAGGGACGAAGTTGGGTTAAATCTAAGCTTTTTCGTTTTTCTTCAGATTACTTATTAGGATCTTAAATATGCACAAATTTATCATTTAGGCACTTAAAGATAATTTCTTGGGTATTGGAACATTTTGTGTGTTTTTTTTGCGTTTATTTATTTTTAGCATTAATTTCTCCTACTAACTGTTGTGTTTTTTAAATCCTCATCTGAGGATATGTTGTTGTTTTTTTTTTGTTTGTTTGTTTGTTTTAATATATTTTATTGATATTTTACAGAGAGGAGGAAGGGAGAGAGATAGAGAGCTAAAAACGTCGATGAGAGAGAAACATCGACCAGCTGCTTCTTGCACACCCCCTACCAGGGATGTGCCCGCACCCAATGTACATGCCCTTGACCGGAATCGAACCTGGGACCTTTCAGTCCGCAGACCGACGCTCTACCACTGAGCCAGACCAACCTCGGCTGTTGTTGTTTTTTTAATTGATGAGAGAGATTGGTTATCTCTGGTATGCAGCCAGCCTGGGGATCAAAGAACCCAAAACCTGGGTATGTACCTTGACTGGGAATCGAACCTGAGACCCTTCAGTGCACTGATGATGCTCCAACCAACTGAGCAACCAACACCAGCCAGGGCTCTCCCACAGAACTGTTGACCTCCTTCTGCAGGGCTTTTTGCTCACTCCCAAGCATTCCCTGCTTGAAAAGAGTCTCCCTCTTGTTTCTTTTCAAATTGGTCACACCGGACAATTAGTACCTATAACAGACCAGTGCTTTTTTGTTTGTTTGTTTTCTTTTAATATTTCTCTACATCCAATAAACAGCCAAACTTGGAGAGAATTTATAAAAGATGTTATTTTAATCAAACTGATGACAATTACCAGGAAGCAAGATCTCCAATGCTCTGAAGAGTGAAAGTTTTGCAGTTCCTTTTACACATTTGGAATTAAGGGGGAAACATAAGGAAGATTACATGAAGGTGGGAGAAAGCAGTATACAGGATAGTTAAGATTATGTGCTCCCTTGAGGGTGGTTATACCTTCCTTCAAGGGGTCTAAAAAAGAGGCATTTCAAAGGCATGTTAACCTAGACACGCAGAAACAATGGACAGGACTTGCTTAAGGGAAAGAAGTTCTATACCTGAGATGTGCCTACTCATCATGACCTGTCCAGTTAGGAATTTATGGTCAGATCACCCTGTGAGGTGACTCTGGTTAGATAAATCACAGCATCCCTTTCCTGTCTCCTGGATTTGGAAGTCAATTAGACCAGGTGGTGCTAATTGAAAGCACTCTGTACTTGAAAAAATAGTGAGTGAATGAATGAATGAATGAATGAGAAAATGTGACAGGCACATATTGCAAAACGCTGACTTGGTCAACAAATACCTTTTGAACACCCATTGTGTCCCAGGCCCTGTGGTTGCGTGCCAAGATACAGGTGCACAAAACAAGAGACTCCTTGGACTAGGGACTTTCCAAAATCCCTAGTTCCAGCTGCCTTGTTCTGCTTCCATGTCTGTTATCTTTTCACCTTTCATCACACAATCCATGACTTTCAGGATCACGTTTTAGCTAAGGTATCTCCTCATTTGCTGAAGCCCCAAATAAGTTCTGATCTCCTGTCAGTCCGCAAAATACGGACAGTGCCCCAGTGTACCGTTTGTCTCCAAACAGCTACCCTCTCTCTCCCCCACAACCCCTACAACTCCCCACCCCCCAAACGTTAAGCTTCCTGATCTCAGGGGTCCTTGGATGGGGAACCTTCTGAAAGAACGGACAGAGTTGCGTCCAGCAGAGGGTGCTGTGGGGGCAGAGCTGAGCCGGGAGGGGAGCTTGACCAGTGACCCTGAGCGCCAGGTAGGCGTCCTGAGTAATCTGGAGTCTTCCTCGTGCTCCCTCCCCCATCCCCCCCCCCCCCCAGGGAACAGGGCCGCCCCTCCCCACAGGTGGTCCCCCCTCCCCCCCGGATAATTAGCGGATTTCGGGGACTTAACGTTTTCTTAGAAAAGGCGCCTCGTTCCCGTTTCCGACGCCCCCAGGCCCCTCAGGCCCCAGGCCCACCCCCGAGGCTGGGTGGCCGGGCGGGGGCCTCCGGGGCTTCCGCCCCCGGCGCCGCAGGGGCCGCGAAGGGGTTAAGCCGGCGGGTTGGGGGGCGGGGGGAGGGACGGGGAGGGGGCGCGGGCCGCGCCTGCGCTCTGCCGCCCTCCATTGTCTCCACGGCGGCGAGGAGCGCCGGCGAGCGCAGCCCGGGACCCGGCGGCGGCGGCGGCGAGGCGGGCGGCGCGGGTGGCGGCGGCGGCGGGGCCGGCAGCGGCTGGAGCGACGACTGCGCGACGCGACGCGACCGACCGACCGACCGCGGCTTCCCGAGCTCCGCTGGGCCGCCAGCGCCGCAGCCCGGCCCGAGGCCTGGGGGGTCCGCGGCGGCGCCCTGAAGCGGCGGGGGGACACGCAGCCGGCGCCCCCAGCCCGCCCTCCTCCGCTCCCCCCGGCCGGGCCGGCGGCCTCCTCCCCGCGGCTCCCGCGGCGGCGTTCGGGGCCCCGGGCGGCCTGTGGCGCGCCGAGCCCGCGCCGGGCTGCGCCTCCTTGGACCTTGAGGGGGAACATGCGCTGGGCTCGGATCGTCTTCAATTCTTAGTTTGGGATCCCCGCCCGCCTGCCTCTTCCGCCCCACGAGCTTTCTTTTTCTTTCTTTTTTCTTTTTTTTCTTTTTTTCTTTTCACCTCCCCTCCCGATCTCCTTTTTGACTTCCCTTCCCCTTTTATGCTCGCCCAGCCCTCTCCCCGCTGCTGAGGAGTGAGTGGGGGAGGGCCTCGGCCTCCAGGTTCCTCCCGCCCCATCGGGGGACACCCCCTCTCCCCCCCGGCGAGCCATGGGGGGCAAGCAGAGCACGGCGGCCCGCTCCCGGGGGCCCTTCCCGGGGGTCTCCACCGACGACAGCGCCGTGCCGCCGCCGGGAGGGGCGCCCCACTTCGGGCACTACCGGGCGGGCGGCGGCGGCGGGGCCATGGGGCTGCGCAGCCGCTCCGTCAGCTCGGTGGCGGGCATGGGCATGGACCCCGGCACGGCCGGAGGGGTGCCCTTTGGCCTCTACACGCCCGCCTCCCGCGGCGGCACCGGCGGGGACTCGGAGCTCCGGGCGCCGGGCGGCGGCGGCAGCGGCGGCGGCGGCGGAGGGTCCGCGTCCGAATCCACCTATGCCCAGGGCAACGGTTACCAGGAGACCGGCGGCAGCGGCGGTCACCATAGAGACGGGATGCTGTACCTGGGCTCCCGAGCCTCGCTGGCGGATGCTCTACCTCTGCACATCGCACCCCGGTGGTTCAGCTCGCACAGCGGTGAGTCTGCGGGCGGGCGGGCGGGGCGGAGGAGGCCTCGGAGGGTGGGGAGTGCCCAGAAGGGCGCCCCAAACCTTGGCGATGCGCGCGAACGTTTGGACGTTAAGAGTGGTGCACGGCCAGAGTCTTGTCTGCTGGTCCCCTTGGTTTCCTTAGCCAAGGGACAGATTGGATGCGAAGCCTTTATAGAAAAGGTTTTCTGCTGTGGAGTCGGGCATTTTTATGTAGGACTTGAGGCGTTGACCCACTTGTGGATGGAGGGGCAGAGGGGAGGTTTGAAACCTGCCTTGGGAGGTCCCTCTTCATGGCATCCCCATCCTCAGAGAAGAGGTCTGACCTGACTTACAGCGAGAGTCAGCCCCGGTGCTTTCTTCCTGTCACTGCAGCATCGAGCCTGCCTCACCCTTTCTTACCAGACAGACAGATCCAATTTGACCAAGTGGTGGTGTCTCCCAGACAAAGAGTGTGAGAAGAGATAACACTGGAGCCAAGTGGTGGTTTGTGGATTAGGGCTCTCACGGTCTAGCTGGGAGAGGGATGTTGAATTTTGCCACCCCGCTGGAAGTGTGTTTGAATGGTTTAAAATGGAGCAGCTAGCAGGCTGTTGGCGGAGACACAGGTGTGGCCTGCTGAATGGAGGCCCAGCCAGGGAGGGCTCTGGTCCCTGTGCTGCATGCAGTAGGCTTGGCTCAGTGACTCTCCCATCCCTCCCCCTCGTCTTTCCTTCCCCTCCATGGTTAAGTGCCTGGTCTTCCAGATGATCTGCATCTAATTGTAACAGAGAGGTGAGATTTTTATTGCCAGGCTGTGGGTGCATGACAGGGGAAGATTCAGAGAATGTGGATGAATTCACGATGTGAACTTCTGGCAACAGGCCAGTGAAAAGCTGGAGGAGGATTTCCCAGGCTGTTAGTAGCAGGAGCATCTGGAGGAAAACAGGTCTGTTTGCTAGGTTAGGCTTCTAGAAAACTAATCAAAAGAGGTGTGCGACCGCTATTTACTATTGGCCTTTATTTTTTGAAAGAGTCTGGATTTCTTCTTTTTCTTTTTCTTTTTCTATCTATATACTTTAATTTGTGAAATGATTTCATTTGATGGGGAGGAATAGTGACTGATTGATGACAGTAACACTTGAAAGCAGCTTTTGAATTGCTAGGATGGTATCTTATTACCTGAACAGGCTTTTCTGACTTGCATCAAACTCTGCCCTGAATGAGAGGCCAGGCAAGACTGACTGCCTTTGGCACTATTAGACATTGGATCAGCTTTAAAAATTTTGAAATTAATAATCTGTCGTATAAAATCTGGTCCAGAAAGAATCGTTTGTGTTTATGAGATGATATGGTTAAGTTTTTTAAAGGACTGTCATTAGTATCTGATTTTAAATTGAAAAGCACTGTAAGAAGTTACCTACTCTAAAATCACAGAATTTTGTGTATTATAAAACAAATATAATCTTATAGAGACTTGTCTGGGGAAGGAGTTCCCTGTTTCCTAAAATTTCTTGTTTGTATTTTTCTAGAAACTCCTTTTTCCTTATTCCACCACCAGGTTTCATGCTGGAGTTGTGAGCTTATAATTAGATTACAAAATTTCAGATTCTTCAGCTGTGAAATCTTAGTATTCTTTTCATCCAATTGTGGTCAGGGTAGGAAGAGCCACTAAGCCATGGGAATTATTATCAAAGCATGTGCTGGGGGCTGCTATTAACATTTTGGATAATAACTTTATTTATAGGACCATCCTGTCCTTTGGGAAGACATTGAGCATACCTGGCCTTGCACCCTAAATGCCCTCAGAATTTCCAAATGATCTCTGTAGGGGCATAGGGGGTGCCACCTGGATGGAGAACCACTGCTTTAAGTATGCTTTCTTTTATTCAAATAAAGTAATTAGTTTTTCCTGTGCAGTTTATCTGAAATGAACCTTTGTATTTCCACACTTCCGCAGTGGTGGTTCTCTCTCCCTTTTTTGGAGCAGGCCCAGGATCTTCCTTCCAGGACATCCCACTTCCTCTTTTGTTCATTCAAAAGAGAAACTCATTTCTATTTAGGAGCCTTTGAGTAAGGTCCGAGCAGTTTTTGCTCTTGTGTCATAAAAGCACAAGGGTAAAGATTTTGGTGCACAGTTGACTAGAAGCCTGGAAGTTGATGCTCTTGCTTGTGTTTTGTTTTGTTTTTAAATAGTTTCATTGGTTATTTTTTAGAGAGAGAAACATCAAAGTTGACTGCCTCCTGCACACCCCCTACCAGGACTGAGCCTCATACCCTGGGCATATGCCCTGATTGGGAATCGAACCAGCAACTTTTTTGGTGCTCCAAACGATGCCCATCCAACTGAGCCACACAGGCCATGGCGTCTTGCTTGTGTTTTCAGGGTGCTTTGGAACTCTTCTTGGGCACAGAATATAGATGTCAGTGAAGTAAATGGTGGGGCTGGAATTGGAATGCAGGTCCTGCCAGAGTTAGACCTGGCTCTTAACCATTATGCTCTACTGGCTCTCATCCGAAAGCATGATGAAGCTGACAGGGTCCTGGAAATTGCACTGGCCTGTGGGTGAGATGACTGTGCTCATTTCTTGATAGAGCTACTAATTAACTATTTACTTGTGGCCTTGGGCAAGTGAGTCATTTAGCCTCAGAATCCCCATTTCTTCACCTGTACGATGGGGACACTATCCTGTTACCTTGTTGGGTCTATGAGATGGTGTTTAGAAAAGCCAAATGTGCCCTAACTGGTTTGGCTCAGTGAATAGAGTGGTGGCCTGTGGACTGAAGGGTCCCAGGTTCAATTCCGGTCAAGGGCATGTACCTTGATTGCGGGCACATCCCCAGTGGGGAGTATGCAGGAGAAAGCTGATCGATGTTTCCCTCTCATCGATGTTTCCAACTCTCTATCCCTCTCTCTTCCTCTCTGTAAAAAAATAGATGAAATATATTTAAAAAAAGAAAAGCCAAATAACATACAAAGAGAAAGTGGTGTTTCTTTAGGGGCACCTCTATAGTTCTCAGCCTTCTTTCATCTCAGAATTTGTTGGGTATTGAGATTTAGCCATGAGTGGACTGCTTTTCTCTCTACTGCAATCGGACCCGAATTGATGGATGGTTCATAATAAGTGCTATTGAGAAGAACTGCTTTATTGGATCAGAGTTAGAGAGTCCATTCCTTTCCACATTAAAATGTAGTTTTTGCTGTAAGGTTTAACTGTTAATAGTATCTCAGAATGTGGATTTCTAGATGTGGGGGAGAAACATAGAGGACCCACCATGTTGGAAGGTTGCCTGTTTCCTGGGCCTTTCTATAAAATGGCTGGTCATTGAGGCTTTCACTCCAACTCGTTAGTCACATATATGTATATACATGTACATTCAGAAACATCTAAGTTATTCTCTGTTGTCACCAAGCCATCAACTGGGACTCATAGAATGTGACTTTTCGTAAGTCTTTAATCATGCTAGCAGGATATCTCATTCTATTTTGCCACCACTCTAGGGTTCTCAAGTTACTTACTTTTCTCCATTCTTAAATAATTAGGGAGAGTTGCCAACTCCATTGGAGTGGACCAGAAAGCCTTTCTGTGCCTCACCATAGGTGTGCTGGAGGTAATGGTCCTTCACATGGTTTCTGGAGAAAGGAAAGCATTTTGTGGTCTCCAAAGAGCATGATGGGTCCCCTGCCCTGTAGAAGTTCTATTAAAAAAATAATATATATATATTATTGATATCAGAGAAGGAGCGATAGAAACATCAATGATGAGAGAGAACCATAGATAGGCTGCCTACTGTACACCCCCCCCCCCCACTGGGGATCAAGCCCACAACCCTGGCATGTGCCCTTGATCCGAATTGAACCTGGGACCCTTCAGTCCGCAGGCCAATGCTCTATCCACTGAGCCAAACTAGGGGTGAAGTTCTATTTTTAAAGAAGACTTTTTCTTTTCTTTCTTTCTTTCTTTTTTTTTTTTTTTAAATGAAGCCTTTTTTAAAGCAGAGTTTTGAGTTCTCTATTAACCATAAGGGTTTCTTTTATTTTTTCTTTGACCTTTTCATTAAAAAATTTATTTTTAGAGAGAGGAAGGGAGACAGAGAAAAGAGAGAAAGAAAAGTGTGAGAGAGAAACATCGATGGGCTGCCTCCACATGTGTTCAACTGAGCCACACTGGCCAGAGCATAAGGGCTTATTTTTAATTTTTTTTTATTTTTTATGGAATTTAAGTTTATTGTTGTAAGTACATGTTTTTTTTTTTATTAAGTTATTATCTGTGTACATATCTTACCATTGCACCCCCTTTCCATACATGCCCTCCCTCCCCAGAGTTTTGTGTCCATTGGTTTGTACTTATATGTGCACATACAAGTCCTTCGGCTGATCTAGGGCTTATTTTTTATAAAATAAAACAAGTTTTCCCGAGGAGATGATAATTTCTTGAAGGTCACAGTTAACTCTTACTCATGGAGGTTTGAAAGGTCTTGAAAAAAAGAGATTTTTCACTCTTAAAATGTTTGCTTTATGGGATGTGTACATTTTGTTATTAAACAAAGACACACCCCAAATTTGTCATCACAAGGACTCTGAACCAGGCTACTTTTAACCAAAGAAATGCTACTCTAGTACCTTTTGGGAAAGGAAAATGCTTTGTACTTTACTAATGTGATATTCAACCCAAGGTATTGGGCATTAACATTTTGGAAAACCCAATTCTGAAACTAAACTTCTTTGGTGACAGTTTCAAAATGGAAAAAACAAAACAAAACACACTTCATAGGGAAGTGGTGGTGACTTAAATAGGTTCTATTCCTATAAAGCCTTACGTTAGGGGTGTTTTAATGACAATGGGTTGCTGAATCTTGAAGTCAACTCAAAACCTAAATCCTAATCCCAGTTTTTAGAATGATGGATGAGTGTAAATTTCCATCTGTTTCTTTTCCAAGGTTTGTCATGGACTAGTCTGAATCAAATGGTTCCTAGTGATTACTGTGGCTATATAGACTTGAATATGA